CCTTTACCTTATACATTATTCCAATAACTCAAAAAGCATTAAATTGCGAGAAATTAACTAGATTTCAATTCTTATAATATTGTAATAAAGTCGAACAACATTTTATAATAGCGAATATTTTGTAGACAGCCAATCTTATGGTAGACGAGTCACGTGTTTCCTTAATTTTGTGGAGTGATATTGCTTATAGACGTGTCTGTAGACCGTCTTGTCAGACTTAATTCCCGAATGAATAATTCGAGAGAACCGAAGTATATAGAAACATGCATAAAACTGTGGTCCCATTTATAGAGCATTCAGTTTCAGTTGGTCAGCATTTAAATGCGTATGGCTTCGCCTCGTTAAAGGGTACAATAATGACACAGTCATGAGTCAAGCCCGGGGTATAATCAGTGTTGTACGTACAACGGATACGTTGGTCGTTTCAATGGAAAGTTAAGAACAAAGACATTTAATACACAGGTTCGCTCGAAAGAAAATGTTCATGGGTCTGGCATAAGGGAAACGATATGTAGCGCGTATACTTGAAGCGAGTGTCAAAGTGGCTGCGGATGTGGCTGCGGGTACCCCGATGGATCGAGTACCGTCCTTCTCAGCTACCTTATAAGTGTGAAGACACACGAACTCACTGGCCTTGCGTAGTTTTTATTTCTTCTCAATTAGTAGCCATTGCGATAAATGATTGTTGTTCGATCATTAAATGAACGATTCTCTTTTTCTGCCGGAAACTGATAGAAATCGACTCTTCATCTGATCATTCATTAATTTCAAATATAAGACTTTATTATTTCACATACAATTTGATATCCTAATTCTAATAACCGTCTATCTATTTGCTTTTTATCATTTTCTATTTAATCAATGTACGTACTACAGATAAGGTGCAAGACGAGTTTGTCAGCATTCGATAACGTAGAATAAGCTTGAACATCGCCGTCGGCCAACTAGAATTTCAATATTACCTTCGCTCAACTTGACTTTTAAGGATGTAGTGGCTATACAGTCAATCCCAAA